GGAAGTGTGCGGGATGAATGAGAGAGAGTAAGGGAGAGAGTAATGGCTCCGGACCCCCTCCTCACCTCTGCCCCGAGCAGGACATACTATGGAATGAAATACTCCCCTGGTCAGTTGGGGTCAGCTGTCTGAGCTGCGTGTCCCTTACACCCAGAAAGAATGTGGAAGTATTTCTGCAAGGAACGAGTGACTTTGTACCATTTCTAAGAACAGTTTTTAATGTCGTGGGCGCAGGAGCACCCACCCAGCATGCATGTCGCTGTAGCACAGGCATTAGCATCCCTCCAGAGTCCACTGACTGATCCCAAGAAGTGTGACAGTGTGTGTTTCCGTTTGTCAGGTCGTATTGACAGCAAAGACAAGGAAGGGGCTGAAGCTGAGGAAAAGAAACTGAAGGTAAGCTAAAAAATTAAGCCAGAGGTGACATCAGCCCACTAAGTGCATGTTCCTGACTCCCTCTCCTCCTGGTTGTGCCTCAAGGAAACCTTGCCATTATCTTCCGTTCTGTCCGTCCTCCGAAGGTGTTTTCATTGTCCCTTCCCTCGCCCTGGTTTGGATGGTGCAATCCACGGTGACTTTTGAGGGCGAGGGGGCGAACCACGTCTAAACCAAACCTGTGGCTCCTGGGGCTGGGTGGGTGGTTCAGGGAATCGTTTCTCTGCTGGAAGGCAGGCTTTGCTGGGGCAAACCGGTGCAAAAGCAAGCTCAAAACTGCCGTGGGCTGTACTGGGGCCGAGCGGCGTATGAGTGGAAAGAGCAAGGCATAATTTAAAAATAAAATTTAGCAATCTAGGCCTTGCAGGTGCTGTGTTCTGGGTGAGGACTGGGGTTTAATAGTGGGTAAATGCCAGAGGTTGAGAGATCCGTCAGGCTGCTATTTTGGGGAGGTGTAGCTCAGCCTGGCTGGTGCCTGGCGGGATAGTGGAGAGGTTAGAGGGTGAAGAAGCAAAGGTGAGGAATGGAATTATTTTCAGACAGTGGGAAATCGGGTCTCTGGGGGAGGTTTGGCAGGGCTGTGGATCCGATACCGAGCAGTTGCCAGGCTAAGAAC